ACACACACACACACACACTACACACACACACACACATATATATATATATATATATATATATATATATATATATATATGACCATAAATGACGTCCATAGTAGTTTTCTAGTGATTTTCTTGCTTCTATCCCAGGACTTCTTATTGCCATTCATCACCAAAGAGACTACGTATACAGCTTACTATTATAAAATGATTCACACTGCACACACGTTTCTTATCACGTTCTACCGCTCGAAGCACTGAAGATATCTATCCATATCCAGTCTGTGTCGGATACGAACCCCTCTCATTCATTGCTGTTTCCGCTGCCCTATTTTTCATCCATAGACCACACTGACTTCCCTGTCCCTGTTTCCCGTACGGCTGGGGATCTTCAGTTTTGTAGCGGTGACATCATGCCTCGCCGCGACCATTCTGTATGTTGTGTTTTGTGGTATTCACAGGTCTGACTCCAGGGTTATTAATACCATTGAGGTTTGGTTGTTTAGGTTGCTTAGGAATCGGCGTCTATTAAGTACCTCGACCCTTAGCACACTCAGAGATTTCTCTGTCTTGGGATGTCTATGGATGTCTTAAGGTGTCCAAGTATTGCTATATTCTATTGTCGCCACACTGTTCTTGTAGAGTTCTTACGGCACTTTGGACAAGATGTATTTCTTTTGGTATCTATTGTTTTGGGTATCCATCTCGTGACCAGCTTAGTTTGTATTGTACTAGTCGGATCATGGTACAGTGCAATTGAAAAGTTCATATATACACACAGATATCCTGTAAAGCTTACAAATAGGCTATCCTTCGGGTTCGTTCCTATTCCAGGACCGTAGGGAGTACAGCAGAAGCACAAAAGCCAAAAACAAAACAAAACTAAACATATGTTTACATCTATAAGTATCTATTCATCACTGACCAATTTGAAAGCACACACAAAATATTGCGAGTTCACAACCCCCCCTCCCCCCCCCTCACTAGATATGCATTTATTTAATATTATATTTCGGTCACATACACCTCATTTCAGTTCCAGATTACTGGTCACAAACTGCACTATGCATTCTTCTACAGTTCCATACGAGTCTTGATATTTACCCGTTCATGAGATAGCTCGCCTGATTGGGGGGGGCGACCCCAATTCTAATCAGGAATGGCCTATAATGTTTTTCATAGGAATAAATATCTCATTTCACAAACTACATCATACATGCTTACTTCTATACATCTACAAACCTCGATTTATGTGTAATGTATCCCGATTTGTCCCGTTTTAGAACTGCAGGGGTGGACCCAGGTAATCCTATGGCTGAGCCGTTAAGTCCAATCCGCCGTCGATTGATGCGGTTTGTGTGTTGGTATGCGGGCGCAGGCGGTTGCTTGGCCTTTGGAATCTATGTGAACACTACCAAAACCGTGAAACTCGGTAAGCTTGAAACAC